GCCCTGTAAAGCACAAGGAATTGTGGAACTCAATCACTTTGAGAAAATGCCACACTTGACACAAGACGAAAGGAATCAGGTTATCGGTATGGTCAGCCAAGGTGCTTCAGATGTGTTGATTGCCAGGCACTTTAATGTGCATCCATCCACTGTAAGTCGACTCCAGACAACGTTTCGGGCTACCGGAAGTGTTGCTGATCGTCCGCGACCTGGTGCACCACCTGTGATAACAGCTCGACAAAACTGCAATATCCGAGTTTCACACTTGCGAAATCGGTTCCAAACAGTTGATGATTAGGCAAGGAGGATAATTGGGACAAGTCAACGTCATTTCAGCGCCCAAAAGGTGCAAGGACGCCTTGCTGCCTTCAACATCCGGTGTCGTCACCCGTACCGTGGTCCAACCTTATTGCATCGCCACAGACTTGCCAGACAGCGATGGGCAGCAAATGGGGCCAATCTTGGCAACAGGACATGGCCAGATGTCATTTTTTCAGATGAATCCAGGTTTAACTTATCCTTTGCAGATAACGTCCACAGATTTATCGACGTAAAGGAGAAAGACTTGCGCCAAACTGTGTCCTTGAACATGATCGTTTTGGAGGTGGTGTCATGATCAGACCACAGACCATCAGAGGCTGCAGACCATCCAACAGCTGTTCCTGAGTAATGTGTGTCTTTCAATGCCCCAAAGACTGCGAGCATGTCTTGCAGCGCACGGTGGATACACACGATATTGACTGCAAGTGACCCCTCCTTTGTGTGATGTCGTTGTTGCGTCACTGATGTTGTTGTTGACTGGACATTTTCAGATGAAATTATTCACAGATGTTCACTTAAAACATATCTGCCAGTTAGGTTTACATATGTTGAAATTAGTGTGAGTAAAGAGAGTATGAATGTCAAATTGCATTTTTAATGGCTTTCAGTATATACTGAATGTCAAATCAATATCATGGCTAAAAGCAGAAATCTTACAGACCATTCAATTTTTGCTTGCTTTATCCACACTTCCAAAACAATCAACAAGTTTTAGAAATATTCCGCAAATTTATTCCAAAGACATAATTACTCATAACATATCAAACATTCTTTGCATTTCCCATATGCTAAACCTGCAAAAATACCGTAACAGTATGAACTGGAATATTTTCATGGTCACATATCTAAATTCTCACTGAATTACCTGAGAGTCCCAAGATGTCACAAAGGAATTCCTTGCTGATGACAGGCATTTCCTGTTCAAGCAAGTGTCCAAAGGATGATGTGTAGGGGCTTTAACCCTTATATCCCACCAAGTGGATCATTTGAGGCCCGAAGTGCACGTTGATGGTAAGCCAAAACTTCATTTCTTTATATAAATGTTCAGTAGTCAATGTGTTCCCTGAAAATTACAATACTGATTGCTGTGAAAAGTTTCAATTTAAATTATTTTGAAATAATTACCATTAATTTTAAAAGCAAATATTATTACATTCCAGTCAACGCCACTTGATAAAGCTTCCTTACGAATACATTGCATAGTAACTGCCAATTAAAGATGAATCGTCCAGCAAGTTTGAGAAGAGGAACACTTTTTATGAATAGACAAATTGTTTACTGCAGTAGATGCGACGTTTCTGTGTAGATCCAAACACCATTATCAAGCAAATGATACACAACATATGCACAAGGAGAAATATATACATGAAAGGTATTTGGGGTTTATATGTACGAGTCTCCACATTTGCATTTGAATGTGGTAGACAACGCCTGAAGGGTCTTCTTTGCTGCTTGTAGCTGGTTTACTATTGGCTTGTAGGATATGCTGAATTGATGTTCCTTTCTGGAACACAACATCTATGTTGGCTTGCTTCTTTAGTAATCTGCGGATATGGTGGCTGGTTGTATCGACAACGGGGATAATTGCTGACGTGGTGGTTTGGGGTTGAGGGTGGTCTTGATGGTTCTGTTGACTAGATTAGCTGGGCACTGATTAAGGTTTATGAAGACATGGCGAAGGTGTTCTAACCTCGACTTCAAGGCCTTGGGTTGTGGAGCCGATGTTCTTTGTTCTTCTGGCTAGGGTGGCGATTATACATCTCTTGACTTGCAGTGGGTGATTAGATGAGAAGTGAAGATATTGGTCTGTGCGGGTTGGTTTCCTGTAGACACTTGTTTGGAGTTTGTTGTTGTCTTTTCGACTTGGACGTCGAATTTCATGCGTGGATTTTGGGCATTAAGGTGTTTGAGAAGGCAGATGGGATCATCGGTGGGGTTGATTATGACAAAAGTGTCGTCATCTTTCCGGAACCAGCATATTGGTGTGACGGGTAAGGTGAGGAGGGCCTTGTCATGTAGATCTCGGTGATGATGGAGGAGAGAGGTGATCCCATAGGTTGACCATGGGTTTGTTGGTAGATTTTATCAGACCGGGTGAAGTATGTTGAACCTATACAGGAATGGAGGAGGCGGATGATGCTTTCTACTGTGAGATGGGTGTTTAGGTTTAGCGCGGATGTCTTCAACTTTTCTTCTAATGATGGCTAGGGCTTCGTCTCTTGGTACATTGGTGAATAGATCAACCACATGATAACTCATTATTTTGCCTGGCTGGGTGATGGTGCTGATCTTGTTGCAGAATTCGTTGGAGTCTGAGATAAAGGATTTAGTTAATTTACCTAGAGGGGCGAGAAGGCGGGCGAGATGCTTGGTGGTATTGTAATGAACTGTGTTTCTGGAACAGACAGGAGACGGACTCTGATGCGGTCTTTGTGGACCTTGATGGTGGCTCGGGCGTAGGGTGGTCTAGGATGGGGAACTGTGAGCTGCTTCTGAAGAGTCGGACCTAAGTTCTTACAGGAGGGTTTTGTGGTCTCGTTGAAGCAAGGTGGTGGGGTCTTTCGGTGTCATCTACTTTCCGGAAAAAGCATATTGGTGGGACGTGTGAGGTGAGGAGGGCCTTGCCTTCGAGTTCTGTCATGTAGATCTCGCTGATGATGGGGGAGATGTGATCCCATAGGTAGGCCATGGGATAAGAGAACTCTTAGAGGCAATCAACATCAAACGCCTCAACCCGACAATCAACAGAGGTCAACGTTATTACATCCCTACAGCTTACGATCAAATAATAAAGAATAACCAACCAACCAACCCTTTGGCTTCAGTCATTTCTTATCGCAACAAGTCTCATGTCAACACACATCAACCTCTTCTATTGTATAAACCCAAATACCTGTCATGTATATATTTCTCCTTGTGCAGATGCTGTGTATCATTTGCTAGATAACGGTGTTAGGATCTACACCGAAACGTCGCATCCACTGCAATATAGAAGTTGTCTATCCATAAAAAGTGTTCCTCTTCATCATCACACCAGCTTCTAAATGCCACTTAAGGAAGTTTGAGAAGCAATTTTCGCGATGTTTTGCTCCAACCTGCTGCTGCAGATGATGATGGTAGTGGTGCTGATGCAGTTCCTTCTGACAGTGGTTCAGATTCTGAGTTCAAACCTCACTTTGAAGAAAGTGTTAGAGACAGCAGTGACTGTTTCTAATAGTGAAGAAGAACGTAATATCCTGTCAGGTCCTTTGATTTAAATCAAAAGGGGGTGACCGGGCCTCACGTGTTGTATGCCACAAATTGCAACGTTGCAATTTGTTGTATAAAATTTGTGGATTGCAACGAGTTTCAAAATGTGAACTCCCGAGTTGAAAGCTTGGTGGGATAAGGGTTAATATGTTTTATAACTGTACATAAAACACTTCAATGACTTGCTGTTTGAACACCAGATGTTAAAAGAAATCTGAAGATCTGTTTCAGTTTGTGTTGCTCTTGATGTCATTGGTAATTGTGGTGATCTATTCCTCCTTTTTTTTCTCCTCTTAAAGATGTGCATCTGTTGCAACTGAAAAAAATAAATAACGCATGTGAGACCAAGTATGATATACTTAAGGAAATGTAAACAGTTCCTTACAGTGTTGACATCAATATATTATTGATAAATTAAGCATGTGGAAGTTATGTTTACCTGAACATGCTGCACCATAAACAAATGCTACATGGGTTTGTAATAATCAAGCTCATATTACAGAATACATTTGTGAGAAACACCTATTCAGAGCTATTGGTACCAATCAAAGTGTGGATATAATCATCATTGTTTACACGCTATTAAATAATTATTTAATTATTTACATTTATATTTTAGAATTACACCTGGAATTGCATTGCACATAAAGTTATCTCCTGGATAATTCCAACTGCAAGATACTTTATTTATTTACAAAGTTCCCGATAAAATGTTTTATGCACAACTTTACAAATATTGACCAAATATTTGAAAAATATTTTTGTGAGATTACAAAATATCTTTACATTGTTATGGATAAACTTAACTGATATTTGCCATGATGAATTACGTAAGTTATAATAAATGCAACAACTGCAAAATCCAACTGTGGTGAGTTAATTTTTATCGTCACATTGGCAATATTTCAGCTATATCGTGACGAGAACAATTTATAATTATAGATCAATACAAATAGAAATTAAAAGTCTGTTGTCAAAGAACAGTTAAACTGCTAGTTTATCACATGTATTAAAGTAAAATTAGCACGCTATCATGAAACGATATTATTAAATAGAACAATACAATATAAAAATGGGGTATAGGTTGCCAACAACTGAAGGTAGATGGGGACGGGAACTTACAGTACTTTTGCTACCTGCATGGACCCTATCTGGATTTACATCATCCCCTCAGCTGTTGACAGTTTAGACATTAATTTAAACGAACACATATACTATGATTAAAATGTGGTAAGATTAAACCTTCTTTGAAAGATATGGTCTTACATACCCTCTCAGGGGACAATAAAATGCCTAAGCACAAAGATCGTGACATCTCTCAACCTGGACCGATTGTTACACAACAGCCTAAGCTCAAAGATCGTGACATCTCTCAACTGGGGCCATTGTTCCACAACAGACTCCGCACACACCTCTTGACATCTCCCAGCCTGCTCCACAACTGATTTTTCCTCCATAAATCTGGCGTCATCTAGATCTTTGTGACCATGCACATCAAAGGAAAAGTTGCCATAATTACCGGCGGTGCAGGTGCTCTTGGACAAGCAATGGCCAGAGCTTTGTTGGAGAAAGAAGCCAAGGTAACGCAAGAATAATCAGTCTGAGGTCATGTTACTGTTTTTCATCCTATGTTCAAACGAACAGTTTGCAGTTCCCGTGGCCTCATTCAGTGGCGTCGCCTCAGCTGGGGTCGTTAGTGTTTTTGTATCGTATTTGCATTTCCCTTAGGGAAGAGCTGTTTGACCAATGAGTGTTACTCATATGACACAGACAATATTAAGTTATAGAACTTGTGTTGTATAAAGCGTTGACGTTATTGAACATAAGCGAATGTTCCACTTGTTGGGCCAGTTAAACAGCCTTATGTTACAACAATGATGTCAGCGTAACATGGCCTTATGGCTTAAAGAGACACTGATCTTGTGCTATTCCCGGGGACTGGTTAATGCTTTTGTTACTTTTTTTCCTCCGCGAGTACCCGGATGATATCCCAGAATACGTGACTGGGTTGTGATCATCTTTGTCAGCAAAGATGAAACACCAATTACAATTTCCATCTTGATTATTGTGATGTATCAGTGTTTAAATACAAACATACCACTTTAATATAATCATTTAACAAACTTTCACACCTTTAAATGAAACGTTACCTCAAAAAAGATGAATCAAGGTTGAAAGTCGGACATGAAAATCCGCCCATGCTAGTCGTAAGACGCGACCAACGAGATTGGGTGGTCAGGCTCACAGGCTTGGTTGAAACATCTCATCTGATTCCAAATGCGTAGATCGATGCTCATGATGTTGATCACTGGATTGGGTGATCCGTACGCGATTATTACAGACTGCTATATATAGCTGTATTATTGCTAAGTGTGGCGTTAAAAGAAAAAAAAAAAGAAGACCCTGAATTAACATCGATTTGTCAAGAAAATATTAATACCAATTCGATGCTTCTTAGATAAGTATATTGTATATTATACACCTAAATCTACGTAGATGATAATTTATTTTATGCTGTGGCAATAATACACTCCAGGACAAAGTACAAACATCAAGCTTATACCTTTGCACGGCAGTTTCAGATAAGGGAGTCGGTATTATCACTGCATCGTCTGTGTCGATGAATATAATGATAGGAGTTTTATGTCATGATTTGATTTCAATAAATGTCAAGGGGATGTTTTTATAAACATAGCCAAGAGCCTCGCTTGTGTCTTTAAGTCATATTTCGAGAAAACGCTGTGGCCTTTCCCCACAAACATCGATATGTGTGTTTTATGTCTCAACAAATAGACAGTATTAAAGGAGTAACTAACTCATTAGTAGGGTAGAAAAAAACTGGTAGTTAATATTTCCAGTGTAGCTGTCGAAGGTCGCTACCGTTTTTTACCGGGTTGAGATTCTTAAACAGAGAGCAATGGCAGTTAATGGCATGTATCTTTTGTACCATGTACATCACTAAGCAGGTCTGGACTTTCCCCTCACTCACTCACTAAATTCTGACGCGCAATATCAAAATACAAATATCTCTGATTTCCTAGCCGCTGTTGAAATCTGAACGTTGATGTGATACAAAATACTTTAACCCTTTTCACACTCATAAAAAAACAGGTACTTTATATAAACAAAATGTTTCTCAAGTAAAGTGTGCAAGGCTGTTACCTTGCTTGTGCAAGAATAAGAAAACAGAATAATAATAATAATAGATATGTAGTTGAAACACCTGGATGACAGTCCTTTTGTTGTCCATTTAAAGACCAGTGCCAGACAAATCACCATTAGTACCACTTGTTGACGTTTTCGCATCATCAATCTCCGTCTCTCCAGGCAGAAAAACAGACCAAAATGTTAATTCTTTAACATCATGTTATATTCACGATATATCATTTGTTTAACACAGGTGTGTATCTTTGACATCCATGCTGACAGAGGTGCTGAGATAGAGTCTTCACTACAGAGTCAGTTCGGAGGAGACAAAGTGTCTTTCTCGCTGTGCGATGTAACTGACGAAAAGGGTTTTAAAGGTATGGATCGAAATGACCTTACCTCTACACATAAGTAAAGAGTAAGATTAATGTGCAGTGAAATATTTCTATGAATGGTTCAGCTAAACCATACATTTTCATAAATTATGGAATCAGCAAGAATGGAGCTCAAGGGGTCGGGGATCTTCACATTTGGGAACGGATACAGATTTGTTGGGTCGTTGGTTCTGAAGATTGTAGTTGTCTCATTATCATGACATATGGCATTGCCGTACGTTAGTCGATCCGATGGTTTCTTTCCAACATTATGTTTGTTTATTTTAATGAAAACATTTTATGTAAAGGATGATGTGATTTTCAGAACTGACAAGTCCTAAACACGATTGTAAGAATTTGTATTGGAACTTGATATTTGCGTGCTGACTCGTCACCAAACCACATGTCCTACATTATCCTCAAGGTGTACATTTAATGTCATAGATGACGTTTCTGGTTTGACATTAAAGAGTCTTGAAGAGGTTTTGTTCTCTGTGCTGCAACAGTAGTGTTCGATCAGTTTTACTGTCTTCACAAACAATAATAATGAACCCTTCTCAATACATGTTCTTCCTTGTTTCTAAGAGACCTTCGACGGCGTCGTGACACGTTATGGACAGGTGGACATCATGATCAATAATGCAGCCGTCATCAATGAGAAGATAGACATTGACAAGATGCTGATGGTTAACCTGGTGAGAGAACACAGCTGATTCAATATTGTTATGAGTGTGTGTGTGTGTGTGTGTGTGTGTGTGTGTGTGTGTGTGTGTGTGTGTGTGTGTGTGTGTGTGTGTGTGTGTGTGTGTGTGTGTGTGTGTGTGTGTGTATTTAATTTGTAATATCACATTGATTAAGTGATAGTCATTATGGGTCACAATGTTTAAAGTTTTGAGCGTGGGTTTTGGCTCGTATCTCGCATCATATATGTTTAGTGGCAATAGTATTTGTAGCGGCACGCCTTTTTGATAGCGCCCCAGAGTTGCCTCCCTTGGCTGGGTTTATTTGGTTTTGAATTCCGGGTCTTGTCACGTCCTGTGTTTTCCACGCGGTTCCATGGCGTTCTGAGAGAATGATGATGGAGCCTAGCTTTGCTAGAATGCTCGAGAACTGTGTAAGAGCTACATAAAGGCTGGTTGTAGAGTAGTGCACTACAGGACTATTCACATGACTGGATTTATACACATCTGTCTGCCATCGTCGAGTTTCTCAACATTTCAAGACTGACCGTGCTTGCCTGCTGTCATTGTAAACAACCTTCAATCAGTATATCTGTTCTCACTGTAAATTTCAAGACTGGCGAGTTTATATCTTATATATGTGACCCAATATTAAGAGTGAGTGAGTTAAAAGTTAACGTCACATCGGCAATATTGCAACCATATCGTGACGAGAACAGTTGATATCAATAGGCAAATCAATAAATGTACAACGTAAAACCTGTCATCGAAGGACAGTAAAACAACTAGAATATCACAGATATACATGTAAAACTAGTAATGAAATCTAAAACATTCTAACTATAGGGAACAACACAATATAAAAATAGGCTATAAATCGCCAACAACTGAAGGTAGATCACCATGCCAGGGACCATGTGGACTTACAATATTTAGATTTGTGTCTCAATTGCACTGTACTAGAAATCTGTATTGTCATTCATTGTAGCTTGCTCATTGTTTGTTCAATATACTATTGAATGTCTGAATATTATTGACTTGTCTGTGTTCTATTTTGCTGGTTCATTACGGGGATTCTTAAACCATTTGTCACGGCAAATTATTAACCATAACAAAATGACCTGTCGATGATGGTCAAAGAGGTGTATTTGTTTCTTGTCCAATATTCCAGCTCATGACAGCGGTCTGAAAATAATGAAAATATGTCATTAGACCACAAATGTATCAGTCAGGCCAGCAAGCCGATCACCAGTTCTATCCAACATTTTCACGGCTGAAGTAGTGCTGTAGAGCAGATAGCTTCTATCAGTCGTCATCAAGATGTGTTCAAGACTGGTTACTGCAAAAACAACTCATCAGTTGAACATCAGTTCCTGAAAGTCCCGAGGATCAGTTGTGTTATCAAATGTTTGAGAAAAGAAAACAGCCACCAATATAGTGACGGCAATCTCCTGAATTGAAATGGGGTTGCTGAAACTAAATCGCTCAGTTTCAAGAGAAATGTCACATTGATAGCCTGCATGATCACCCCCTGGTACCAGACACACAAACACTCAGTCGTCTGATGATGTGAGATATTGTCGGTATTCTTTTTGTCGCGGATATGGTCACTATCCAACTCCCATAACATCTAGGGTAGCGTGAAGCTGACAACAAAGCACTGACGTTGTTGGCTTCAAAGAAGTCCTTCACAATTATACCTGCATGGGGTCCCTCCTCGTCATGTTGATAAAGGACACCATGTAGTGGCTATTGTTGAAGTTGGAAGAAGCATATCATACATGTCCTTCTATTAACGATAACCAGTTGTGTTCTCTCCTGCCCACAAATTCCTCCCTACACGATAACGCCCCTTCCACCATATGGCATGGCATCTTGAATGACGTTCCGTCTCCCTTCGACAGTGAACACGCTGTTTCCATCAACTTGTCTGAACAGACAAAACCATTTTTCACCAGACCCTCTGCCTGTTCCATCTCTACCAATGACGTACACTAAACATCTCAATCTCTGGCGGTGGTGTTCGATTCTTTTGTGAGATCTGTGAATCTAAAAAATATGTTCATGTCAGTGTACGCAAAGAATAAGGAGTGAAACATTGATGTGTCAGATACCCATTCAGAGTCCAACAATATGGTTGTGATGTATAATAACATCAACTTTCAACGGACCCTGACAAAGACGTCGGAAGAGTGTAACGAATATTTAACATATTGGGATACCTCTCTGTATATAGCGTTGTGATAACTTCAATATGCTTCATAAAGAACAATTCCCAGGGACGTCAGTTCTGTCCTCCTGTGGCAGAAAGTGAGTTTCGTTATGATTATATATGTGCGTTACGGATTAGTGTGAAAATGTTCAGGGTGATTTGAAATGTAACACACACAACACATCTATAGAACTTGCAAATGATGTGAACAGCAGTTTGAAATTTATTGCACGTGTAAATTGGCAGTGTGACTATTATCATATATCAAATACAACATGCGCATGTTACAGTCTCTTGTTATGAATTTATAGAAAGTACATCTCATTTATTATTCACTCTTCAAAAGGAGAAACGGATAAGCCATTTATAGGCGGTATTGCGTTAGTTTCAGAGCAATTGTTTCAAGTAATTTCAATGCTAAAAAGGTGAAAAATCACAAGTTTATAGACAAGGAGTTCGCCATCACCACAGCAGCCTTTATTGTTGTGTTTCTGTTTACTTGAGTTCAGAAGATGGACAAGTCAGTAATTTGTATGGCCACCAATTGGCAACAATTACTATTTGGCACCGTCTCGCAGCAGACTGGATAAGTCAAAGAAGTCGCTCCTACGGAGTTCTTCACCACTCTTCCTGCAATGCGATGGCTACATGTGGATGTGTCTGAGGCGTGTTTTGACGTTGACCTACACGTCTATCGAGTTCATTCCATAGGTGTTCGATCTGGTGATCGGGAAGGCCATGGCAAGACACTGACGTTAGAATTGGCAAGGTAGCAGACTGTGAGGAGTGCTGTATGTAAAGGAGCGTTGTCATGCTGGAACAACTCCCTCTGTAGGTCCATAATCGGAAACATGTGACGTTGATGCACCGATTTGCTGTCAAATTACCCTGACCCTCCACCATATCAGATCTTTGTGTGCTGGATATCGCACCCAACACCATGACACAGTCTCAGCCGAAAGTGTTATATTTTGCAATTAGGGGCAAAACGTTCATTTCTCCGATCCAACGGTAAACACACTGTCTTCCATCTCGCCAGTGAAGACGAAATGGTGATTCATCACTAAACCAGTCTCGTCTCCAGTTTCTAAGCTTCCAGTCCCAGACTCTACGGCCCCATTGCAAACAGTTGCGCTGATGGACGTCTCTCAAAACAAGGGCGACAACTTGGTCGAATCCACACTTCACACATTCGATTCCTGACATTTAGGTCTGAAATTCGTCACAGTTCAGTTTGGATGTAGCGTTCCTGGGCTTGGGTGGTACCTCTTGGATGGCCCCTTCTCGGGCGACGTTGGATGGAATGGATATGCAGGAAACAATCCCAAAGGCAACATAATGTGCTCTGATGAACGTTGAAATGTCGGGTTGAACTGCAGACTGCGACTCCCCAGCTTCAAGGCGGACTATGGCCATGTTTCGATTGGCGGCACTCTGTCGTAACATGATGATTTCCTCTTAAAATCTAAACACAACGTTTGTCTTTTCATGGTGATCGTTACAGCATTCGCTTATATTTCCGCGTGCATTTGGTTTACATGTTTTCTTGGTGACATTTTGGCGAATATTTCATCAAACGCTTCTAAAACAAGGGAAATTTTGAAATTGCCGCGTTTTGACGCTGAAGCTGTTTACAATTACACAAAGATGACGTTTTGGAAAGAAATGGTATATTTGTATTGTACAGCAACAGGAGTCGAATATTCTCAAAATCACTTTTGAAGTGGTAACCAGCGTACATCAAACTCATCTATTGTATAAACTCACTCTGTATGTGTATTTCAATCAATATCACTCTGTACATCAACCTACTCTACTCAAATCATTAATTAGCAATCCAAAGTACATCCACCCTGTCAATTGTATATACTCACTATGCCGCTGTGTATATATTCTCCTTGTTTCAACTCTTTGTATCACCTTTACAACTTCTAAAATGCCTCCCAAAGACGTTAACAGTAGAAAAGTTGACCTGCATGTTATTAAAACGGTTGTATGAAAGTAATTTACTGTGAAGGAAATGTAGATGCAAATACAACTGTAGAAAAACTTACATACATTTTCATTAAGCACATAAAACTGTCCCTGTCTTCGCAGGGTGGCACCATCAGAGGTTCGAACCTCGCCATCAAGCACATGAGGAAGGATGAAGGTGGGGAAGGTGGTGTGGTCGTCAACGTCTCCTCCATTACAGGTAGGTGATGTTGCCTCCGTGATCGAGATAAATAAGTACCAGTAAGACGATAAAGAACCACCATACTTATGTATAAATACCGCTCTTGTTCTCTTTATCATATGATTTAAACCAGCCTTTTGGGCAAAAGAAGAAACTGAAGTGTATTGGACCTTTGTTGAAGGGTGGAGAATTTGCTGTATTAACAATCAAATATCCAAAACTTTAGACTTAGCATGAGTTCAAAGAATATATTTCAAAATAATTATTTCTGAAACGTAATACAGTTATTCTTTTAAACTTAAAAAAAGGTATTCGCATAATACATACATCCTGTTCCTTCAGTTTTCAATTACATAAGAAACGTTTCACGTAAGTCCAGGTGTATGAAGAATATAGAACGAGTGAATTATTCACCATGTGGCCATGACACAAATTACCAAACACATACTACCGACAATAAGTATGGTAACACCCAAACCTCAAAGAATAACAAAGTAAATTTAAAGTGGCAGGGTCGGTTTATTACAAGGGTAAATAAAACAATATTTGGTGTAAAAATTGTAATGGAGTTATGGTCAGATATCACTGACTACAATTCTAGTACAAGCAGCGGAAGAGGATAGGGGTCAGAACTGAAAGTCACATAATCAATAGTGAGTGTATCCTCCACGTTGATTGATGCATTCTGTGCCTCATTGACCTCACAAGGGTACGGAGGGTAGCTGGTGGAATCAACTGCCATTCTATCTGGAGCCACTGTACGAGAACCTGAAGAGTCGGTGTCATTCCATGATTGTCTCTAACAAATCGTCCAAGAATGTCCCATAGACTTTTAGTTGGAGCCAGACCCGGTGAATAAGCTGGCCACTGCATCACATTCACATTATTTTGTTGCAAGAAGTCTCTAACGAATCGAGCTCGATATGGTCTGGCATTGTCATCTTGCAGGTGTGCTCCGGCACCAATGGTGTTCAAAGCTGGAAGAACCAGAGGACGCAGAATCTCATCCCGGTACCTCAATCCAGTCAAATTGCCCTGTACATGGTACACAGGAGTACGTGATGTAAGCTGAAGTCTCCCAAAACCATCACAGAGCCAAGACCAAATCTGTTATTCTCCAGTAGCATCATGGTAATGTTCTCCGCGCCTCCCATCGTCAGTGAAGAGTACCCCGGACCACTGTTGATGATTCCATCTCAAATGTGCTCTGGCCCAGGCCAGTCTTGCAGCTCGATGATGTGGACAGAGAGAATTACGTACCGCTGGACGATGTGACCGTAGATTAGCAGCTCTGAGACGGTTCCTGGTGGTTGAGATGCTGACGTTTGTGTTAGTTGCATGTCTGAGCTGCAGTGGTAGAGCACTGGCAGTTGTGAAACGGTTCTTAAGGGTGTTGAGTACAACATATCGATCTTCTGCCCTTGTCGTTTTTCGTGGCCTTCCTGATCGGGGTCTGTCCTGTTATCTGCCAGTGGTTTAGAACCGTTCCCTCAGCCTGTGAATGACGGAAGGGGACACCTGCAGACGACGAGCAACGCTTCTTAAGGATTCACCATCCTGTAGCCATGCAATGGCCCTGTTTCTGTTGTGGTCGTTTAATGGTCTACGCTGAGGCATGTTGGGGTAATTGCGAGGCTTCAACACTGTCTGCAGCTTCTTTTAAAGGAAAAGTTGCCACAACATGCATGAGAAGTCTGTCTTTCACATGCACTAGGTTGTTGTGTTTGGGCGTTTGAATCATAGGTATGTTTTGACACCTTCGTGTTTTGCTGTTTTGGACAATTTTTAATTTCATCAAAACTTAACGAATATTGAAGCAATTGCTTCAACTGTTGTTTCAACATGTCGTTTAAAGTGTCCACTAAGCACATGTCACAGACACCTTTATGAATTAATGAAGCCACCACTGTAGGGATTGTGCATGGCTTTCAAATTTGAGGGTGTTCCCATACTTTTTGTTTGTAGTATATATATATATAGATGGTGATGGTGTAAATGATAAACACAAAGATAATGGCGCGTGACAATGATAAACTGGCCAGAATGATTATCAGGAATTGAAGAATGAATATTGGAGTAGAAGTAGATGTGACGTAGTTATGTGACAATCCTAGTTTTGATGACTTTGGTATAGTATTGTACATAATAACGACAATGCGGGTACTGAGTTTAGTAAAAACATTCTGACGTTTTTCTAGGTTTAGAGCCGATCTTCACTGTCCCAGCATATTCATCCACAAAGACCGGGGTAGTTGGATTCACAAGATCCTGGGCAGTGAGTATAGCCGTTAAACAGTATTACGAACGGCTTTCAAAATATGGCATAGCAGATTTACACAATGTGAGCACATCTTTTTTAACCTTTATAGCTTCATCCTAAAAAATGAACAATACTAACGTTGTATCATGCTCAATTAATCATTGACACAAAAGAAGTTAGAAACGCAACGAAATCAGAGACATATTTCATGTCCATCCACACACGTATATCGGCCAATCAGAAAAAAACCAGAAATCTGTTAGTGGTCTCGCATAATTATTTGTAGATCCTGATTAACATAAAATGATTGTTTAGCTGAACATTATCTTTATAAATCAAGGATTTGTTTGTTGATGTACCTCCATGTCATGATATCCAAACAAGCAACACAAAAAAACACATGCTAACAGTCTAAAGCATGTCAACGTTATCGGCACCTTTGACAACAACAAACTGAGAACGGGACCACCTACCACATTGGTGCATTGTGAAAACGTTAAATTTTCCAGACAAATCCCTATCTGAAAGACCTGGGCTTGAGATTCTGCTTGGTGTGCCCCACAGCCTTCAAATCGTTTGCAATTCCTGATCCAACGTCAAATGTATTGTATGTTGAGGACATGAAGAAGCTTTATGGAAAGGGTGGCTTCGAAGAGTAAGTATCCTCAGAACATGCTTGTGAGAAGCTGCTGGAATGTTGAAGAAACATGTATATTACTGTTGGATTCAGCTTGCAATAAGTTTCGAAATGCCAGAAATGTTAGAAATGTGACACAGAAAAGAAGTGCCTGCAAAAGGTTATTTATTTTTGATTGCGTCATTATATATTTGTTTGGTTCGGGGTTCTTTTGTTTGTTTTTTCACTCTACCAGAAATTACCACAGACCCTTTGAGAAGCTGTCTAAACAGATCATTGTCATCTGCATGAATCTGAATCGACAAAGGTTCGCGACTTGCAGTTCAAGGGCAGACAATTTAAAGTTAATTCACTAAATGCAGCTTTTGGCAGGAACTATCTCAGAATACAATCGTCTAATTGCTTCCCTATGCCCATCCGTTTCGATTAAATGAAATCGTAGGGCATTACTGTAAATGTTACGACCATGCATTTTACCATTTTTCTTATTATTTTTCAGCTAAAATCTGCTCACTTTACATTTTGTCAATGAATGTCACTATCAAACTTACCAAACTATACGGAGCAAAACTTTAAACTTGACACTTGGGATTTTTTGGGACTACATTTTTAATATTAGGTTCAAGAGAACATTTATAGTTGTATGCTGTGCACAGAACATCTTGACATCAAAGGGGGAAAAAAAACCCAAAAAACCCAAGTCTCGCGGAAAATCCTTAACACCGAAAACGTTCATGATGTCAAGGTACCCTCCAAAATAATGTTCACTGCGTGAAGAACAATTCGATTGAGGTCTTCAGTAAGGGTTGTTGTCTTCTCTAGCGTCTCTTACAGCCACACAACATCTAGTCAAGGATCTTAGAAAGCTAGTAAACACACCTCGAGGAAGACGTCGACATTACCTGCAAGGTTTGTGGTGGATTGACTTGCTCGCAAACACCTCGCCCTTGCTCATCCCAGATGTGTTCGATACGCGACAGCCAATCCAGAACTTAAATACCGGTATTTCATAGAAAACTCTGTTTAAGAATTGCCGTATGCGGTCTAACATTGTCTTGTTGAAACGTCAGTCCAGGGTCATGTCTGCTGCATAAATGGAAGCAGGACATTTTGCAAAATCTGACACCCGTACTGGGCAGCGTTTAAGTTCCCTAGAACGACAACAAGGGCAGAACGTCCATGTGTGCAAAACGAACCCCATATCATTGCGCTTCACCACCAATTCGATCCACTTCACGGACACCGACATGAGTGTGATGTTCACCTTGCCTGCGGTACACTCGGGCCCTGCCGTCCGCAAATGTCAGCATGAATCAAGATTCATCTCTTTGTTGAACCTTATGTGTCGTGTGGCCCACACCAGTCGGTTGTGGCAATGAAGAGGCAATAAAATTGGTCCATGATGGGGTCTATGGGTCGAAGTCCAGCAGCAGGCAAGTGATTTCTTGGTTTGTGCAGTTATCCTTCCCTCAAACATCTCCCTCCTTGTGGAAGTAACAAATCTGTTCCGAAGATGAGGCAATCGTATTGTTTGATCTTCCCGGAGTGCCGTCACTCATGACACTCCCGGCCTCGGGCGGTTAGCAACAGTTCCGGTTTGATGCACTCTCAACCTAAGATTAAAAATCAAAGTCTTTTGCCTTACAGCGACCACAGACTGACCAGCATCAAGCCCCCACATAACACGCTGACGTTCTTGACAAATCAAGGTTCGCGCATGAACTCAAAGCATCCATACTATATACTACTGTTTGATCCGCATTGACTACAAAATCCTTCTGTATGCCTACAAGTACTTCCTCAAAATTTCTCCATCGTACCTCACTAATTAAACTACTCAACATCTATCGTCCTCCGAGACCTCTGAGATCACAAAAGCAAAAACTGTTCACCATTCCCAAAATTCAGACCTCAACTTTCGGCAAGAGAACAATCAAATATGCAGCGGCAGAAAAATGGAATTATCTGCCGAAAAAACTGAAATCTGTCTATTCACTGCCTTTCAAGTCATAACTACAGACTCCCAGGCTTTCACTTGCTGAGCACACACTAGGACACTAAATGATGCGCTGTAGAAATTCATCAATTATTGTATGCTTGTACATTTATTTCATTAAACAGAAAAAGAAATATGTCGAAATACATCAGTGCCAAGTCTCAGTTGACGCAAAACCTATTTGATATATTGTTATTGGATAATATATGTCAAAGACATTAAATGTGGGGCCAACATTGTCAGGTGTATTGTTCAGCAATCCTTCCCATTTTTCAGAGATTATTCTAATTCTTTCTACGTCATAAGCATGTAATATATATGTTGCAGTCAATGTGTAAAATCATGCAATTTGTAAAGTGCCTGAAATTTTCAGTCAATCTGTAAGTTGCCTGATTCACTCAGTCAGTTTGTAAAGTGCCTGAAAAATTAGTCTGTTTATTAACAGAATGGCTTAAATGTTTTACCATAGCTGGTAACAGGAGAGAGGGGCGGGTCAAGAGGACTTGGAGTTCAGTTAACAATCTTACTCGGTTCAACTCATCCTAGAATTGTTCTGTGTGGACGAGGTCAAGGGACACAGCCAACTACGACAAACAAACATGATGTAGTACACTGGCTCACAGCTGGTGTTTCAGATAAATGGACGTGAGACCAAGCGAACGGACGTCCATGTCATCCTTAATTTGAAGCAAGAATATGTCGTGGTCACTGTTTGAAGATTGGTCGATTGATTTGTGTAAACTAGTAACTGTTTGTCATTGAATATCATACCAATGATTTTGGGTAATATTGATGGCTCATATTTCTCGATCCGGGGTAGAATAGGTCTTCAGCAACCCATTCTTGTCATAAAAGGCGACTATGCTTGTCGTAAAAGGCGACTAACGGGGTCGGGTGGTCAGGCTCGCTGACTTGGTTGACACATGTCATCGGTTCCCAATTGCGCAGATCGATGCTCATGCTGTTGATCACTGGATTGTCTGGTCCAGACTCGATTATTTACAGACCGCCGCCATATAGCTGGAATATTGCTGAGTGCGGCGTAAAACTAAACTCACTCACTCCCTCACTCATATTTTTCAGTGCAAAGGACATAGCTGCTTCTGTGAATGATCTGCTGGAGGATGACGACAGTAACGGCACCATAATTCACACGTGTCCCGAAGGACAGAATCGTAGGGTGAAGATAGAGGCGACTGATGAATCAACTTAAGGAGTCACTCTCAAATACATTGCCAAGCAGTTGGTTATCAGAGAGGTTCTGAGATCGATTAGCGTGAAATTTTGTACAGCAAAACGTCAATGTTCATTTTTTAATTAAAAACTATGCTGAAGCAATATCACATACTTATTGATTTTTCAAGGTATCTGTTGTGCTTCCTGACATTGAAATATTCGCAGACTGCATTTGGAATGGTGAATACATGTTTTACTTCGATTTACCTTTGTTAATGACTAAGTCAAATACATAACCCTGTACAGTACAGACGGAATATACCACTGTTGCTGACGTACGTCTGTACTTTGCCCTTCTAGTAATTGAGTATATACTTTCAGGATATCGTTATATCAGTCTTCTACTTTTGTATTATTTATCCAGTTATTAACAGGGGTATTTTATTAGCTTGGAACACAAAACCCGTTTCTTTGTCGTCGAATTTAAATAATATAATAATCATAGTCCTTTTATATATTGCGCGTTTATCCATGCACATTGCATGCTCAAAGCGCTGACATATTACCAGTGGTCAACGAGTACAGAACACTCCCTGTGGAACATACAACCGGTCGCCTGTCAGGCGCTCAAGGTTCAAATTCAGACTACCATCGTATCATACCAGGTACCCAATTTTACTGCTGGGTGGACAGAGGCAATTTTGAACAAACTCACTTGCCTAAGGTGAGACCACATGCGTCACATGTGCTTCATTGTGGGGCAGGACTGAAGTCCTAGAAACTTTCAGGAGTCAAGCTGCCAAACACGGTCACCCATCCGAGGACTGTCCGCGACCAACGTTGCTTAACTTCAACTGATTGTGACCTGATCTCTACGCACAGGACCACACACCGTCACTATCGAATTGCGACCTTTAATATCGTCTGATCGTTGGTTTGTATTTCGGTTGGTCCTTAATATGTCTTTCTGAATTTCCAGCACCATACAGGTGCACGTAGATCTTACACTAGTGATAAACAAGTCAATATGGAAATGAATATCGTAAAACGGGAATCTAAAAATACATATTGACATCTTATGACATGGAAGAAACATCCCAGGACATCTATCAACCAATGCCTATTGTAACACAACAGCCTTGGACACATCCTGGGACATCTCTCAACCAGGGCCAGTTGTTACACACAAGCACACATCTCGGGACATCTCTAAAACTGGGCCAGTTGTTACAAACAAGCACACATCCTGGGACATCTCTAAAACTGGGCCCGTTGTTACACACAAGCACACATCCTGGGACATCTCTAAAACTGGGCCCGTTGTTACACACAAGCACACATCCTGGGACATCTCTCAAACTGGGCCAGTTGTTACACACAAGCCTAAGCACACATCTCGGGACATCTCTCAGCCTGGGCCGATTGTTACATCACAGCCTAGGCACACATCTTGGGACATCTCTCAACCTGGGCAGATGGTTACATCACAGCCTAAGCACACATCTCGGGACATCTCTCAGTCTGGGCAGATTGTTACACAACAGCCAAAGCACACATCTTGGGACATCTCTCAACCTGGGCAGATTGTTACACAACAGCCAAAGCACACATCTCGGAACATTTCTCAACCTGGGCACATTGTTACACAACAGCCAAAGCACACATCTCGGAACATTTCTCAACCTGGGCACATTGTTACACAACAGCCAAAGCACACATCTTGGGACATCTCCCAACCAGGGCAGATTGTTACACAACAGCCAAAGCACACGTCTCGGGACATCTCTCAACCTGGGCAGATGGTTACATCACAGCCAAAGCACATATCTGGGGACATCTAAAAAACTGGGCCGACTTTTACACAACAGCCAAAGGACACATCCGGGGACATTTCACAGCCTGTGCCGATTGTTACACAACAGGCTAAGTATATATACTACCCATCAAAAGTTTAGATTCACTAGTGTAAATGTAGCCACTCACTTCAGTCAACTGTTCTAAACTAGATTTTGCAAAATATTCCATACTGTTTATAGGTATTGTTTACACATGAAATGATGTATTGTAAAACAAATTTGTAACGTTGAAAAGATTACTGTCATGAGTTCAATAAATGATGAAATTGATGAATTCTTAACAAAACTTTACACCAAAACACATCTGTTCACATGCACGATATTTGCTCATGCTTTTAAGCAATTTGATGCATGATCCTCGTGCATTTCATCTGCATAAGGTTTGCAGTTGGTTCCCCATGTTTGTGGAGACATTCATCTTCGATGTAACATATGTATTTACATAACATATAGTGATTGCGTTAAGTGAGTCTAAACTTTTGATGGGTAGTATATCTTGTGACATTTCTCAGCCTGGGCCTATTGTTACACACCTGCCTAAGCACACACCTGGGGACATCTCTCAACCTGGGCAGATGGTTACATCACATCCAAAGCACACATCTTGGGACATTTCTCAACCTGGGCAGATTGTCACACAACCGTCTTCGCACATATCTCGTGACTGCTCGTTCTGCTCCACCTATCTGATCACTGACGGACTCCTCCTCCATAAATCTGTCGTCACCTAGGTATTTTGGACCATGCACATCAAAGGAAAAGTTGCCATAGTTACCGGCGGTGCAGGTGGGCTTGGACAAGCAATAGTCAGAGCTTTGCTGGAGAAAGAAGCCAAGGTAACGCAAGAATCATCTGTTTTTCATCCTATGGTCAAACGCACAGTTTGCAGTTCCCGTGGCCTCATTCAGTGGCGTCGCCTCAGCTGGTGTCGTTAGTGTTTTTATATCGTATTTGCATTTCCCTTTGGGAAGAGCTCTTTGACCAATGAGTATTACTCATATGACACAGATAATATTAAGTTATAGAACTTGCATAAGGCGTTCGCGTTTTTTAACAAAAGCGAACGTTCCGCTTGTTGGGTAAGTTAAACAACGTTGTCATGTTACAAAACAGATGTCAGCGTGACATGCACAATTCCCGGGGACTAGTTGTTGCTCTTTTTACTGTTATTGTCTCCGCGAGTACCTGGATGGTATCCCAGATTAGTTTCGTCTTGGTACAAAGTGCATCTATAGTCATCGTTTTACCAATTACAATTTCTATCTTGATTATTGCAATGACAATTCAAAACATTTTGAAAAATTAACTTCATCTGCCAATGATGTGCGCGGTGGGCGAGCTGGCTAAGGCGCCAGGCTACTGATCCAGCGAGGTTGAGGTGCCGGGATCGAGCCCACCTGTGACCGGGTGTAAAAACATTGGAGTCAACTTTGTGTGCAGACCCTTTCCGTGTTGTCACAACCCCTAGTGTACAGTACACAACCCCGTGCACTTAAAAGAACCCACGAATCCGTTGGTATATGTCCAGATGGTGGCCACATGAATACGTGCAAACACCTAGGTGCGGGTACAGCAACGTGCAGTGAAGTTGGACACAGTGCTGTGACTATGTGTCCCAGTCCACCCAGCTGTGAATGGGTACCTCGTTAGGAGGAGAAAGCCACAATAACTCGGTGCGCCTAGTGGCAGCAAGAGTTGCATACCCCCCAGGGAGTTGAGATCGCTAATACGATGTGCAGTTGATATTGACATCCAATGATCGATGGGAAAAATACCAGCGCCTTGAGCATGCACTAGTGCGTGGATATGTGCGCTATATAAATATCCTATAATAATAATAAATCTTCAAATGTCATGTCGGTTTAAAACAAGGTTACATTATGAGACCTTTGATATTTTCAGTATACATAAACGAATTAGCAACTAGTACTGAATGTTCAGACTGCTATGGGCTACAGCTTATGCCTGATCTTGTACATATATATTTACTTCTGCTTTTTTGCTGACGACATAGATTTCTAATGTGGGTAAGGACATCCAAAAACAGTTAAACAATCTTTCTTCATTTTCGATCGAATTTGGGTTGAACGTTAATATGGCAAAATCAAATATAATGGTATTCAGAAAGGGATGTGTGTTACGTACAAATGAGAAATGGGGGAATTTGATGGAGTAGAGTTAAAAGTTGTGAATAGTTATAAATACCTAGGTACATATTTCACTCCTCAGTTATCATGGAAATATGCTATTAGTAGAAGAGCTCAGGAAGGGTAGTGTTCTACAGACATTTAATATGAACTGCTCTATAAATTGCAAGATATTTTTCCATATTTTCGATACCAAAATATTACCAATCGTAACATACGGATGTGAAATTTGGGGATTTAAACAATACGATGAACCAGAAAGAATTCAGTCAATAGCTTGTAAGAGATATTTACAACTGGCAGTTAAGACACCAAATTATGCTGTCCTTGGTGAATATTTGTTAACACGCTAGTAAGAGTCATTAAACACTGGCTTAAAATAAACAGGATGCCTGACCATAGATATGTCAAAAAATGTTACAGATATCACTTCTATATGATACTAACGGAAAAGTAAACAAGGTTACCAAGGTTAGAAACATTTTATGCTCTAGTAGATTTATGTATGTATGGGTAAATCAAGGGGTGCAAAACATAAACTTATTTCTCCAGGAATTTAAACAAAGAATGATAGATGTATTCATATCAGATTGGTTTAATTCAATAAACAGTACGTCTAAACTTCATAGCTACAAATAAGTATAGATTTGAAACTGAAGAGTATATCAATTAAATACAAATGAATAAATTTAGGAGTATTTTGGCAAACTGTCGTTGCGGCACACTCCCACTAAAAAATAGAAATTGGTAGGATGAACGGTATCGAGCAAAAAAACAGACTGTATAAATTATGTAAATCGTGAGATATAGAGGATGAATACCATTTTCGTTTGGGTTGCCGAACACTTTCACACATTAGAAAACAATATATCGATGTGAGGACGATTTCTATAGATCTGTTTGTTTACCTAATGTCAAATAAAAATGAAAGCATTATTAGAAATGTTTCAATGTATTTACATCATGCAATGAATTTGAGAACTTCTATATTATTCCCACACACATGAATCATTGTACCAATATGTTACTACACATATGAATATGCATATTTTACGCATGCGCACTGTGCTATTATATTGCATCCTATGTTGTAATAGGCCGTTGGCCTGAATATCAACTGAAATAAAGCAATTCAATTCGACTTGCACGTGCATTTTCG